TACAAGACATGAAAGTGAAATAAACAGATTCTCAGTATGTCTGATATGTCATGTCCATGAGAGAACACCAATGTCTTATCATCCTGCTGACTGCCTCTCTTCTGCTTTGTTTTCTTATCCTTGCTTTTGTATAGGTATCACATACTTTTTGTCATTGTAAAATGATCTGTGAAGTCTGATGAGAGCAATTTTCTTTGTAGGCGGAAAAGCAGAGAGAAACAAAAGAAACCTCCTGTGCTGCATCTGACTCCTCTTCAGAGAAGAAAGCAGAGATTGGGAAAAGTAACAGCAAGAGAAACAAAAAAGAAACCAACAACCATAAAGCTCCTAAAGAAGAAGGAATGGCAACAGGCAACTTTGGGAAATTTTAGTTTGTCCTTTGTCTTCTTATTTTTGTGGAAGATCTCTGTTCCTAAAATCCATGCCACATCAACTACAACACCTACTGAAGTATCAAGAATGCAAAACGTAAGACCACAAACCATGCAAGAATGACCTGACAACACACCTAAACGATTCTCTTGGAAAACACCAGAGTGCACTACTGCGTAGTGAGATTATTTACAGGCAGACCAAGCAACATCATAAGTGAGGTGTGGTTTCGTCTACTTTAACACAAATAACCTACCCACTGCAACCGGCAATTTTCTTAGTTTTGGAGACTCGATTTTGAGGCAGACAGACCTGATGTTTGGTGTTCCTTAACATCTGAATTTCTTGTTGATTTTCTCTGCTGTCAAAACCAAGCTAAATAAAAATATGTACCAAAAGACAGAGGCACTGAACATGAAGTTATCCAAGATGATGCATTTGACTTAATGATAGGATCTGCCATCAGAACATACTTCAGAAAATAGTCTCTCTCGTTTGATTTGATGTAGTTAGAATGGCTGAGACAAGAGTATTTTTTGCACTTGAAGGAGGCGCGGATGCTAACAGAGCTGTTCATTATTAAATAACCAGAACTTCTAAGGTTTATTCTGTGTTTCCACTGTAAATCACAAAATCATTCAGGCCAAAGGCACCTTGGGAGGTTTGTAGTCCAACCTCCTACTCAAAGCAGGGTCACAGTGAATTCAGACTGTGTTGCTTAAACTTTGTCCAGTTGGTCTTGAAAAGCTCCACAACTTGGAAATTCCAGAGCAGCTCTGGGGAACGTGCTCCTGTGTTTATCCTCCTTACAGTGACTTTTTTCTTACGCCAACTCAGAACCTCACCTGTATCAGTCTGTGACCATGATCTCTTTTTCTCCTGTCACACAAGTCAGTGAAGAGCCTAGTTCTGCATTCTCTGCAGCCTTCTCACATGTACTGGCTATTAGGTCCCCCCAAAGCCTTCTCCAGGCTGAACAAGACCCATTCCCTTGGCCTTTCCTCACAGGAGTGTGTTCCAGTCCTGACCATCTTGGTGCCTCTCCATTATATTCACTCCAGTCTTTCTTGGATCTTAACTACATGTGTTAAATACACAACCTCTTATACACAGGTTCTCCAAACGCATCAATTTGCTTTTCTTGGAGGCTTACCTTGTCAAAGTAGCGAGTACTCATGATACTTCTTTGGGAACCTAAACGCAAGGATCTCAAGGCAGGTGGACTACCTCACATGGCACTGAATTAGCAGCAGAAGCAGCAGCCCTGGATACCAGGGGTCTCCCTGGTTGCAGGAATCAAGACAAACCTTTTGTTCACTGTTCCGTGTCAAGGAAATAAAGACAAATTCCATCTCCACTTGAGCGGATTTCCTGAGGTACTGACGTATATGGTGACTAACAGGGTAACCTAAAATGAATGAAACAGCAGGTTTCATTCATTCATGAAGTACTTGAAGATTGCACTAAACTCACCACAAACACTTCTCAGTTCAGCCTTTCACCAATGAATAGCACTTTCATACCAAGAAGGTAACCGAAATGTCACGACTGTATGTTCCGAGTGCTAAACACAATTAACGGTAATGTAGCTGATACAATCATGGTGCTGTTACACTACAGTGGGGTATTTCAGCTAACACCCAATTTTTAAACATTTTGAAAGCAAGGTCAGTATAGATAACTGACTTGCCAAGGGAGCATAGTGTTGCCTAACAAAATGCAATCCAAGCCATTCATCACCTTGGTACCAAAATCTTAATCTTTTTGTAAAAATAGTGCTTAACTATGTATTTTGGATGCTGGATATTTAACAAAAAGCTTCTCATGAAAGAGGGGCCTTTGGTGCAAGACTGTTTGATTTCTAGTTTTGAATTCAACAGTGAAGCTTCAGGTGGTCATTCCAGACAACACAGTGCCAAGCACAGAGCCCTGTGCAGCAGAGCTCTGCTCTACTGAAACGAGATGCGAGTTCCCTACGGCACAGTGCACGAGCATGTATATGTGGCAGTTGTCCTCTAAGCAGAATCAACGATGGCCACATATTTTAGACTGCATCATCAAGAGTTCTACAAACTGTCAGACAAGTTTGCTGCCTTCTGTACTCAGTGTATATACATAGAAGAGCGCATAAAGGGGAAAATTTTATCTTTGGTGGACTGATGAAACCTCCTCTTTTCTCCTTCTATCAGTATGGTGACTGATTCTCCCAGACTTCTCTCAATACAACATCTCATTTTTGAGGGTCATTACTGTTGGAGTGGACACTACTGCAAAATATTCACTCTGTAGTGTGGAGTTTACATTATACAAAAGAGGAGTTTTAAAATATTTAAGAAACACACCTCAAGAAAACCCTCAACCTCCCCTTAACATTTCCAAATAGTTCCCTAATATCACTTTGATGCATTTTGCATGTTTGCAAATCAAACCATTATATTAATTTCTATAACAGAAATAAGTGAATAGGTGTAGTACTACATTTTTACCCACACCACAAGAGCCTGGCAAAGGTAACTGGCAAATGAAGACTAACCACATTGGATTTATGGCTGACAAAAATACAGACTTCAGCATTCAAGCTGTATTTCTGATTTGTACAAACAACCTTCTGCACTGATCCTATGTTCATTGCTTGCTGTTCCTTTCCATATATTTCAAGTGGTTTGGAGACAGAAAATTATTTCAAGTTTTTTTGGTACAACGCACAGTTTAGTGATTGGACAGTCACAATCTGGAATTATGAAGCGAGAATCACAAATCTGTGAGCAAAGCTGGAGAACAGTTAAGTGTAACCACACCTTGCAGAAACTGTTTAACAGCAGACATAGAGCACTACTAATTTCTGTGGTACAAAGTTTTTCCAGTTATATCCCTGCTGCAAAGCTCTTTTGGGAACAGAAGAGATCATTGTTAAAAAATAATCTAAATATTAATGTGTTGTAATCTCTGACAACAGGCTATCAGGTCTTGCTTTGCATTTTGATGGGATTTATGCAAGTGCCCAAGTGCACAGACATGAGTTACCTTTCAGAATGTTTACTGAACCCAAACATTAATATTACCACCAATAGATCCTAATAACACTGAACTCTGCAGATGCATCACAGATGAACACTTCTACTCTGCTATGTTTAGAAATGTATTCTTACATTACTCTCTTATTTCTCCAATCTCTTTCTCTGCTGGCTGGAACTTATCATTGTAATATAAATGTAATAATATTGAAAATATTAGTATTAATGAACACGTGTTCACAGTGGGAAAGTAATGACTCAGACCTGTGAATTCTCTTACACCTTATACCAACAATCTCTTAAGAAACAAGTATCAAATACCATACACAAGTAGCATAATTTAAAATTTTAAGAAAGCACACCGAGTATGTTTTCAAAAATCTTATTTTTATTGTTTGCGCTAACTGTAGCAGCATTTACAGCTTTCACCTCTAACAAATCAAAGCAAACCAGCACACATAAAACCTACTCAAGGTCAGCACTCTTAAGGGGGAACCTTGGTTACATAAATGTTATACACTCGGGTGTATAACAACAGATCTAGGAACAGTTAAGTTCATCCCAACACTAAGTACAGTCACTCCCATGTCATGCATTTTTCAGGGCTGTTAAAAAGTTTCATTTTAGGGGTGCAAAGAGAAAACAGCTACAAGATTTATAGGTATGACTCGTTTTTAAAACAAAATTCTTATGTCTGAATTATTAAACTACAGCAAGGACCCTTCTTCAGCTGTAAAAATTTTTCTCTGCAAAACAAAAAAGAAAAAAAAATTAGTCACTTTACTGTATTAAGCACAAGTAAGATCATTAGCAGCCTAAACAGTTGTGTGCTCATGCTACATATATTCCCATCTCTGTCAAAAGTTTGCTAGATTTAGTCACCAGCTCCTGGCTTTCTCTCTGAGATGAAATGGAAGTAATGGAAGTCGGTAATACCCATCACTTCTGAGAGAGCTTTGCCTTTCTAAATCCTGGCTGAAAACCTGCGACTTACCAAACAAGCACCTTCTACAGCGGCAGACCCACAAACCAAGACAGTCTGTTTGGTTTTACTCACTTCTACAAGCTGTTTATGAACTAACTTTTAAAATTAAAATGGTTAATTATTAACTAGCAGTTTTGATGAACAAGCTTTATCCCCTCAATTTCTGAATGTAGTTTTAAATTGTTCTAGCTGATATAAATTGTTCTGTTTGTTATCGGATCTGATACATTTGTTATTTATTTTACTTCACTGGCTTAAATCCACAAGTCAGCACAAGAGGGAAAGAATGACAGAAGGCAGAAAACAAGCCCAATTCAAACTGAAATTCCATAGAATTAATAACAGATAGGACAAACATCTCAGCACATACTGAAGACCTCACAAGAAGCTGTCAGGGACTCCTGAACTAGTAGCCATCGCTAGGAGTCTAAGCTGTCCAGCCTCTCAAAAGCCACAGCATGGGCTTTGCCAAGTTAGATTTTAGTGAGCGAGTCTAGAACCTCCCTGTCCACACCTGTGAGAGACCCCCAAGATCAAAATAAAACTACAACAGGATTACTGTGATTCTGTGATACTCTTATGTATATCCTGCTGTGCTTCAAGATGGAAGTTTTACCTGAAGTAAATCCTCAACCTCTAAAGATGCCAATAATGTAGGAGCAGAAACCGTGCAGGGATTCCCAGCAATGTTCCCGTGCTAGTTTCATTGCTTCAGTTTCATTTTCAGAACCTTCACCATGTTGGGTTGGTTTTATAAGAGGTAGTATTGGAGGTTTCCCTATTTTCTTAACAGAGCTTCTCCCTGCTCCCCTCATAGAAGTGGAAGTTTTCTGGACCATTTTGTCCTGGTTTTCCAGATCTTCTGGCTCCATACCAGCAGCTATTTGCCTCATGAGAGCCTCTGTGGAAGCCTTTTGGCACATGGTGGTTTTCAACACCTCTGTGGATTCGCAAGCATGCGGGATCTTTCTAAGTTCCCCGGCGATCTGATTCCAATAAATCTTCGGATTGTTTCTGAAAGCACGACAGACTGATGGCTTGCCAGTGAACTCACACCAGTAGGACATCCCTTGGCTTTTGCATTCAATTCTGAGTTTCATCTCCTCATCCCCACTAACGCTCATTGTGCAAACATCTTTAGTTTTAGTCCGAAAACTGATTTCTTCACCATTGCTTCTTTTCTTTGGCTTCAGCTTCTGTCCCAATCCTCCCATGCCACAGACCACTAACAGGAAAAGAATAGCAAAACTCTTCATGGTGAGAGGAGGTGACCGAGATCTTCGAGCAACACGATCCAAAAAAGTGAAAGCAGTAAGTGGCTGCTCACAATTTAAAGGCTTGGTGCACAAAGAAGCCTCTTTCCAGAGAAATGTGGGATGTAATGATTTGGTTTTATAAAAATAATAAATCACACTTCAGTAGGCATGTGCCCATAATTTATAGCCTGAGGGAGTGTCGAATAACCTGTGAACTCCCAAGAAGGTAACAAGACAAATCTTGTAAATGCAGTTAAATACAGAACGATAGTTGTATAACCAAGAAGTACATTCCTATCCGGGATGAACATGTCGTATTTGATTTTTAACGGATATTTTCCATTCTCCAGCTGCTTTACAGCTAGCTTCATGTCAGAGCTTGTAAGATCATATTGAAGTAAAAAAGATAAAAGTGCCCAAGCAATCTATGCAGCTACATCTGGATGACTATAAATACGTCATACTAATAAGGGCTAATTTGTGGAATGGGTTTTCTGTGTATTTGCACAGTAAGGATGCAACTTTAGTACATTTTGTCAGCACATGACATGCAGTGGAACACATGGAAGAATCAACTGCACATTCTTTGAGCCATGAAAGATTTTCAGACTTACAATACTTAAGCAAGATAACAAATAAAGCTTTAGGAAAATAACGTATTACAGGTCTAAACATAAACCAAATGTTTGTATATTTTATCACTGTCACACCATGGGTTATTTTCAGCCAACAGAGCAAGACAACGGACCTACCTTATCACGAGTCTCAGCAGCAGGGAACAGACCCCAGAGCACATCAGACAGATAATTTGTGCTTTCTCACCTTTCGTGTTTGGTTTTTTTTTTTTTTTTAAAATATATTCCTGTTCATCATAAATGAGCTGTAAAAATACCATAAAACAAAGGCAAGGGAGTAGAAATATTTTAGTGCAGAATCATGTACTAGCAGTTTCTAAAAGCAGAGCTATGGAATATCATGGTAACTCCCATTGCATTCAGGAGGTCATCAGGAAAAAACCCTCCCACACTGTTGCAAGCCACAGTACTTTTCTGGCTAGTAAGACCCTACAAGGCAATTCTTTTTAAGACACGTATGCTACACCCAGTCTGACCTGAAGAGCTTCTGGAAGGGGTATCATATTATTTAGGTATGCTTGAATAACTGTGGGGTGTTAGAAACCCTGGGTTTAAGAATGGCCATACATAACAGAATAGAATACCAGAAACAAGCAAAAAAAAAATTGAAAAAAAATATTCTCTAATACCTGACAAGAGTCCCCACCTGCTGTGGTACCCCAGCTAGTCTGAGAGCTGCCTGCTTGAAGATGGAGCCACCTGGAACAGCCATGCTGGGTAGCCTGAATCTTGTTCTTCTAGTGAACATGTCATAAAAGTTCCACATGACTAAATACCATTTGACAGAGAGAATAACATTGTTTTATTTTCATCCCCTCTCTAAGGCTATTTTAATAACACATTAAGTAGAAGTCTTGTTTCTAGCTTCTTGTCAGTTGTTCCTCTTGTCTCTTTCAAAGCACAGTGGTGTGGCACTCCAGTCAAATCTTAGGACAAACAGCATGGTACAAACCTACTTAAGATTTACAATTCACTCTTCTGTTGTTTTCTGGGGAGTCCTCTCATCTGTCACTCAGCCAGACGGGATGATCTTGTTGCCCATCTCACACTTAACTTTAAGGATTTCAAGTCCCTACTGCACGCACTCAGAGACCTCCTGATATTTGACAGACAAATGTATTATTTACACTTGGTTATGCACAACAGCACTGGCAGTTTCCAGGTTAGAAACTAAAGACATTCACCTCTCCTGTTCTAATTGTTATAGAGTTCAAAACCACTTAGAAGTTACTTTATACCAGTTTCAGATCTCTTGTTCTGAAAGTTTTTGAAGTACAATCACGAAAACAAATCAGACTACAAGGATAAAGACAAATACCAACACCTGGACTCAAGATCTCCGGTATATATATGTATTACAGTTAATATGTTACTGCCAAGTGTTAGTCTCACTCCCATCTGATATTTGTGTCCTCTGTCTGCCTGGGCTTCAGATGGAATAGCTCAAGGTCTGTTATATCAGTGGAAAACAATTGTACTTTTATGAGCTAAGCTAGGATGCCACAGTGAACTATGGGAGCTCAAGAACTGGCAGATGTTTAATTCTGCTGTCAGTGCTACAGAAAAACACAACAGAGGGAAGCGGTAACACCCTGAGTACTTGCAGGGTATGTAGATAACCTCCACAACTCATTAGCTTGAATCCTACCATCTTTGCATAAATCACATCTTTTGTGGAAGTTGTAAGCTTCCTCACCCAGAGTCAATGTTCTTTCAGTCTTTCCCGCTCCAGTTCTCGGTCTTTTATCTTGCTTAAGCTAAAGCCATCCATAAAAGGAAAATACAGCAGAAATCTTTAATCAGGGTGAAAAAAATAATTTGTAAGATTTTTAACTCAGGGAAACTCTTCGAGATAGGTCTACACAACAAAACAATTGAGAATCAAACATCAGGTAGTTAAGCAAGTTCTTTTTTATTTAAATGAACTGGAAACATTTTCTCAAATTAAAAATAGAAACTTTTAAAAATCTGCAGTTCTGAACATTACATATACACATATGCTACATACTGTCAATTTAGAAATGTTTCCATTTATGACCTAAAAATGAAAAATTTAAGGATTTTCCAGATTAAAGACTGATATAACTTTTCAGCAATTCTTTAAAATTATATGAATGATTTACAGAATTATCCCTACTTGGAGGCAAGAAACCTTGTTGGAAACAACATTAACAATACTGATACATGAAGAGACACTATTTTAGACCAATATACCCAATTACTTCACCTGCTGAAATGTTTTACACCAGTAAAAGATACTTTTGGCCTTGTCGATGAATTCTGCTGTTAACTAATTCAGCAATGCAGCTGTATGCCTAAACTCAAGGCAGCAATTCTAACAGTACACACGTTAACTCCAATTGCTAAAAACATTTGAATTTCAATACTGGAAATCATATTTTGAAATCATTTAGCAAAAATAATATCACTGCCCCCTGAAAGAGCCACAGCTTAACAGTGATACTATTAAGGACATTACAGAAGTGAGTGTGAATTTGGAAAAAGGAGACAGAGAATGTAAAGCATTCTAAAAATCACCAACATATGACATCTCTCATGCTCTTTTTGAGTACTAATGAACTCTAGAAAGCTTAGCTTTTTCACTATACTATGCAACACACACAATCCCAACCCTCCCACCTAAAGAGTTTCAAAACAAACTTCTCAGTAAAGTCCCTTTTAGGTCTATACTGCAAAACCCACTACATATTAAAAAAAGAGGGAGAAAACAAAACTGCAACTGAACTTTTTAGAGACACAAGGAGACACTGTGGATCCCATTACACTTCAAATTTAGTCCAAAGTGGTCATTCAAGAGCACCAAACAGCAACACTGATCATGCTGGTAAATTAATTTGTGAAGAGTTATACAATATTACAATCTTAGCTAGACACTTATAAGTTTTAAGGAAAATGTATATACAAAAGTCGCTGTATACAAAATGTATTTTTATGTAAACGTGTATGTACTGTATTTAACACAAATCAACAATTTAAGATAATAACCAATTGTCAGAGGATTGCTATGCAAAGGCTGTTAATCTAATTAATTTATATACTGTCATGTAAGGTAGAAAGCCCAGTGTAAAAAAAGTAAAAAACAGAAAACATCTTAATTCAAGCCTTGAACAGTGGTATTTGAGAGGCAGCGCCCTGACTGCAAAATATTCTGTACAGTAGTTCATGGCATAACATTCAAGAGTACATTTGGGATTTACAGTATGGGTGACATAAAACAAGTGGCTCAGGATGTGGAAGATGAATGCAAATGCCAACACACTTTGAACAATAATGATATATTCCCTTAGAAGAATCTTGAGTCTCATTTATATAGCCTGGAAATAATCACAAAAACAAATCAGGAAAATTTGATGAAGACAATTATAATGTAATTTAAACAGAATGAAGGTATAGGTTTTCAGATGAACATCAGTATGGTTCAATAATTATTATTTTTTTTTTTAAACCTTACAGTACTCATGTTACAGAAAGCAGAGGAGCCTTCTTAAAAATAGTAAAGCAACAACAGACCTAGAATTGACTCAAAAAGCCTATTACTTACCCCTCAATGATTCCGGTATGTGTTACCACTGTTCCACAGAGCTATACAAGAAAAAACACAAACCAAACTCATAATTTTCTTTTGCCCACAAATAGAACAGAAATACTATGTCTAACAAGGCGAGACAAGCTCAGTTGGCACGAACTGTTTTCAGACTTTTACCCATTTAAACAAGAATTTTTCAAGCAAGAGGAAACAGATTCAAGCTTTTCTCCACCAACCTTTCCAGTTATCTGTGTTTCATGATAGAAAGAATGCTTGGATTACCTATTCAGCACCTCTCCTTTGAGAACTTAATCCAGGCTCCAATTTTGCTCTCACAGAAATTATGGCTGCATTTCAGGCTATTTTTTTTAATATCAAAAAACCCCCTAAGGGATTCTTTACACCTGCAAAAGTACATGTGTACAGAGATCTGTTCGAAGTTCTGTCTCTCAAAGTATCTCTCAAAATAATTTGTAGGAAATAAGAAAAAGCAAGGACAGCATAAAAGCTAAGAGTTTGCTGAAACAAAAACGAAAACAAGACTCTATTGCTATGGGAATCCCAGATTGAGAAATTCAAAGCATGTATCTCACTCATATAATTAGCAGTTTTTCTAATTTTCTCAGCACATCAGAAGGCAGCACTGCTTCAAACTGAATCCTCACATTTTATTATGGAACCCCATTTTGATTAACTTAAATTTTAGGAAAAGGAAGTCAGGCCTGAACTAGTGGGTCTGCATTTAAAAGATTATTTTACATTAGTAATTTTTAGCTTATTCAGGAACATTGTATTAAACTACTGATCAATTGCTGAAATATCACAGAAAACATGCTATGAACCTCAAGAGTATTACCATTCGTATTAAAGATTCAAAGATCAGAAAGGGACTTCTAGGGCTTGAGCAATTATTAGTTTCCTCTTATGTAAAATACTGAAAGTCCTTAAAACTGAGAGTCCTTAGATATGCCAGTGGAGAATACTTTTGAATTAAACACCTTGTAGGTTAATTTAGGAAGTGTCCTTAAGTTGCAGAACAGACCATGACAATCGTGACCATAAATATCACTAAAAACATTATTATATATGAACATTATATATATAAAACATTGCTAAATATTTCCTTCAGAAGGAAACTTGTAATCAAGATTTGGCAAGTAAATAATTATTGTAAAATACAGCTCTAATAAATAATAATACACAACCGATGCAGCCATAAAATCTGGCAAGACTTCCAAACTTTGATCTCTTACTTTTACCCACTACTGAAAGAATGGTGATATCTTACTTCTCTGCCAAAAGTCAACCCATACTTTCAGTTATGAAGTTGCAAGTTAAGGCATAGTGAGCTACAGACTTCAATCCTAAATTTGAGAATTCCCTATGCAACTCGGTTATTTTGGAAACCCAGATATTGAAGTTGTGGGACATGCTATATTATCCTTATGGAAGCTGAAAGTCTCAAAACTAGATAAGATTTTACAGCACAAAAGTTGTAGAGACAGAAAAGAACCCAAATCTCCTTTTTAAACATAACTTAATTCTCTTGTTTTGGGACGTTACGCTAGTTCTACCCACACAGAAATAGCCATTTTCTCTGTTCACGTTTTCTGCATACCCTGGATCACCTGCCTTTTGCACAGGAAAATCTCTTCTCCTTACCATCTAAAAAATAAAACAACTCAGGAGTAAGAATGCATCCCATCCCACTACTTTAAACTGCTTTCAGAGTATTTTAATATGGTTATCAATTTAGTACCACCCACTGTGCTAGATAAATACCTAATTACCTGGATTTTAAGATCAAATTTAGGTAATTGCTTTGTTAAGTTGCTGAAAATTACTACAAGATCTGCTGTTACGTAAAGAATACTTGAGAAATATAAATCATACAGCATCTGCTATAGTGAGCAATCATGCAAAAAAAAATAAATAGAGAATTAAGTGATTCACTTTAAAACGCGTAGAAAATTGGATAAGTGATTAATATAGTAGATTAAGTAAAGACACATGAAGGCATGCAGTTTCAGACTTGGTTTACCTTGTAAAAACAGGATTGTGTATACCACATAAATGCTCTTTATGATAACCATTATTACCATTTTCTGTACTGTAATAAAATAAATACACCAAGAAAGACCATGTTATCTATAAGATGCACTATGTACAGTATGGCTTCTAAGACATGTACATGGATGATGGCATTATATGCAAAGATAAACTGTGTCTGTACAATAGAAGATAACTTTTCCTTTGTAACATTCAGGAATTATGGCATAGTTATAATTCCATATTTTTAATATTTTTATCTTCTCCAAAAATAATTAATTATTTTGCTATTCTTGTAGAGCTGGATGCTCTAATATAAAGTCTGGTGAAACAGAACATGTCACTTCGTTTGAAGTAACAAGTTGCACTAAAAATATAAACCCTCCCACCTGAATGAAATAATTTTAACAAATACCAGCAAAAATGTCTTACGTTTTCATGGGTATAGTTTCGACATTAAAAAACACAAAAAAGGAGGAATAATTAACTAGACACTAACAAGTGAGTAATTTTAGCTGTACATGCCTGTTTCTGCTCTTCTGACTTGTGAATGTGTAATGACAAATGACCAGTGTGAATTTGAGAAATGCAGTGCACAGGCTAACTGAACAATGAGCAAAACAAAGAGTAGAAAAGAAAACAGTAAAAACAAAACGGATGGGAAAATATGTAAGAACAGTTATCATAAAGTAAAATGCCAAGTCCCTGAGACAGAGGAACTGCAATTGAAAGAGGAAAGACTGGTTAGGAATAACTAAAACAGTAAGAAAGCAAATAGTTAATTCAACGAGATTACAAAGCAGGCATAATTCACCTTAACAGGTTACATAGCAAAGCTAATCACTTGCACATTTGGAAGATATTTATACAAACGCTGTACACAAAGCTCTGAAGACCTTATTCTGAAACAAGTTTCTCAAAGTCAGAGCTGGCAATCTCTGCACAGAGTCAAGGCAAGTCAAGGCAACCAAAGCCCACCTGCATGAAGCACTTTGCAGGCACCATCCCAAACCTGCAGTATTTCACAAGAACATGCAGTTCTAATCTGATAGCACAGAAGGTATAAGGATTATAGCACCTTCATGTGAGACACTAGAAAAAAACATTTCAATTCATTTGCCATTTAGCTTACTTAGCAGTATATACTTACTCGTCATATACATCCTCTGTATCCATTCTACGATAGTATTTGGAAAGTTTTACAGCAAAAATTATGGCAGGAATTAAAAATATTGAAGAGCCTCCCAAACCAAACCAGAAGGTATTCTGAAACAAAGTAAAATCCAGGGAAAAAAAGATCACAGAGGACATGTATCAGAAGAGTGCTGAATCCTTGCTTGACATTCTAAGCCTTGTTACTAGAAGGACACAGTAGAAATTAGTAGCACTGGCCTTGTGGATTATCTGAGGCTCCCTACACTAGTGTGGAACAGGGCACATTAAGTACTCTCCAGCATCAATGTGAACTAGAATAAAAACATCACCGTCTCACAGATGTAACCAAACAGGAATCTGTCCAAAGTTGCTCAAAGCTACACAGCCATAGTGCCCTAACAAGTTATTTGAATGTAGTTAGCCTTCAGCTAGAAAGTAATTTTGTGTCTTAGCATTAATTTACTAGCCACGCTATTTCTTTTTCCTTTCTTGATATTTTAAAGTAGTTGTCTTTCTTGTGCTTGTTTTAAAAATCTGAGTTTCCAGCACTTTCAACTTGCTAACTGCAGCCTGTTTGTGTAACTAACTTCATTATCATACAGTTGACCTGAGTTATCACCAGATGTTAAAATGCTGATTTTTCAACCTTCATTTGCATTGGCTGGAAGCATTTTGACTTGTGACTCAGCTAACTTCTATCATCTGGAAAACTGTGGTCCACCTACCACTAGATGCTTCGTGGTTACACAAAAGAGAAGAGAAGGTCTGTAACTTATGAGATAATCAATGAGTATAACATGATTCTGGCAGGTTAGGAGATTTCATAGTTAAGCATTATCAAGGTTAGGGTGCTTTGGCTTTGACTGATTACATGCATTTAATGTTGGTATGATTAGGACCTGACTAAAAGCACCATAAAGCTCAATAATAGCTAGGAGATGTTTTAGGTGGTTTCCAGGCATGTGGTTTCTTATTCTACTTTTAATACATGCTGTCCTCTTTCCAAGCTCTTTTGCAAGATGAAAAAGCCAATTATTACCGTCATACAATGCTACTAGTTATGCTCAAGGTGTTCACTGTACAGGAATGAATCAAGATCTGTGGGCTACAAATCAAGTGATAAAAAGTCCCTTAACATCACTGAGGATTTCTAGATTCCAGGAAAGATACTTGAGAAAGTTTTTCCCTTGGTATTTCTCACTTACTCTCTGCACCCACCCCATCCCTTTAAGTCAGAAATGGTTACAGATGAAACTTCAGATCTTTATGCTTTTCCCTTTCAAGGTGGTTTAGAATCAAGCAATAAAACTGTAATTCATTCCTTTCCAGAATTTTTATTCAAAACAAGTAGTACTGTATTTACTTTGCAATTCAAGCTGGAAGAAACATAGTAAGAACAGTTAATTTCACAGAATTCTTGCTAATAGAAGCTTAAGTTTAATGGGAACCTGAAACAAGTCCAGCACTGGTTTGGCTTTGGACTTGATCCACATCAGAACATTTTTTCCTTGCATAACTTTGGATGTGAATCTTTATTATCATACTTCAGAACAGTCTAGCCAGAATAATTACATGCAGATTTATTCTCAAAGAATTTCCCACTTGATGCTCCAATTTTGAGAAACAGAAAATATTTCTTACCACAGAATCAGTTATATAGCTGCATAAAAAAATATCTACTGCTGTATCTATCACATTGGCAATAGGCTTGCATGCTGCTACCTCTGTGGCAATCTGAAAGACAGAATAAAAACCATATAGTTTGAAGTATCTAACAGAATAAAATAAGAATCTCAAAACTTTCTTACAGTTACAAATGCTGTTTACTAAATCATTATCTCTCATCCTATCCAAATTCAAAATGAATTCCAGTGGGATATGCTATCAACTGAACATATACATCTTTAAAACATCACCTTACGTTCTCAAAGGTTGCAGCTGAAGAAAGAAAAATAAAACAAGATGCTAAATGGCATCAATCTGAACTAAGCAAGGTGGGGCTCGGTGCAATATTAGCATGAATGGTAGATTTCATGCTAGCCCTGGAAAAATGATTCTATGTTAAATTCATATTTTATTCCCATCAACACAACTTGTCATTTCTATTCTACTTCAAATACAACAAAACTATTTCTAGAAGACAAGATGTCCCCTTCATAATAAGTATAAATATCTTACAAACTGAAACTATAAGACATACTACCAATGTAACATTTTTATTATTAGCTTTTTTATGTTTTATTTTTTTCAAATGCAACTTCTCTCAATTAAGTAAATGCACCTTACCGACTCCTTGACCCACTCAATGTATTGCTCAAAGTAGCCAACTACGGTATCCATGTACTTTTTTGTCTCCTAGGAACAGAAAAAAGTAAGTGAACTTCTTCTATCAGCATGACATCATAAATTAATGTACTTTAATAAAATAAAACTTACCTGCACAATAACTAGAGAAGCATTGTTATTTATGAGAAGCTGGGCAGCATTAACAGCACTAATGACATTTTTCACCTTAACCTGGAGAGGAAGAGATGGCACTTAATATAAATAAATCCGTTTCAGGCTGCTACAGTGGCTCTGCAGCCATTGTCAGTAACCTATCCTCTTAATAAACCAGCATCCCTGTCCTGTCAAAACCTGACAAACATGCAATTCCAGACAGAACACAAGATGGCCTAAAGATTCAAGATCATCTGACAAAATTCTCTCACTACTAAAAATGGAAGGTATCAACGGTTACAAACAGTGTATTTTCCTGGAACCTAACGTAACTAATTTATTTATTAGATCAGCTTTCTCTTCCATTCTCTTTCCTGCACTCAGAGTGCACAGGAAGAAAACAGTGGGCCATATACTATCACAACTCTGATTACCAGCTATTACATATTACCAGAATATGATGCTAATCAATATCCAAAAGGACTGAGCCACTTCTCCAATATATGTACAACCCCATAAAGCCTCTCACAGAACACACACAAAGGATAATCTACCTGCCACCTGAAACTGTAGAGATGTTTCTTAAATATACTTAAGGGTCAAACATCACCCTTTTATTGCCAACAACTTATTCATGCTTTCTTACCAGAAGCCATGAACATCCAGGTTCAAACCACAGACCCTAAAATAACTCTACCCAGTCTGCTGCTGTGGATGGGAAAAAACCTTAATGGGAAGAACTGAGGTAGTTATGCCCCATCAAGATGTTATGTCTCTTAAGCACTAGCTAATGTGGCTGGATTCTTGCTAGGACAGCAAGGCAGGCAGGTGGTGACAGAAAGCTTTGCTACCAGGAAAGGAACCATCCTGTTGCTTATTCCCCCGAGTCCAGCAGAACACAAAGGCAGCTGGTCTCATTGTGGTGCAGGCACAAGCTGCTACTTGGAGGGGAAACGTGTGCTGCCCTGGGAGGCCTCTATACAGATCCAGCTTCTCACAGCAGGGCTGATGCTGCAGAAGCAGGAAGGTAATGAGTACAATGCTAAAGAAACATGCCCCAGTGGGAGCTGGACATCAGACAAGAGGTAGTTAACAATGTGAATCACAAAGCTCTCTTTTCTCAGTTTTATTTTTGCATTTTGTTTCTTGGTTGTCCCCCCTGCCAAGTTTCGCATTCAATGATTCTAGAAAAAACGACTACATTTTTAAGAACATGAATAACACAATATATGTATCTCTGCTGAAGTGTATTTTGACATGTGACAACCAAGTTTAAAATTCATATTTCAAAAAATATCCCAAACATTCTCCTTTTTTTTTTTTTCTTTTCCCTTTTTTCCTCCTCTGTAATGAAGGGAAAGCCAGGGAAGAAAAAGCTGTACAAAAGAGATACCTAAATCCTTGTTACTACCTCGGTGCACTACAATATCTTCCAAAAACAGAACAGCTAGAACTAGAAAAAGCTGTACTGAAAATATGTGCTCTGCATATGTGGCAGATGGATTTAAAACACAAAAATGTTCCTGTTGCCAGAAAGAAAAGCTTACCGTGAGTTCAGATGATGTCCTCTTCAGTAACCTAATGCTCTGATTTAAAGTGCTCTATATTAGAAAGGAGGGGGGGGCAGAAATGCAAGTCATTACTACAGGTAGGAGCCCACTTGTTTTAACATTATATGCATGCTTTGATCTTCTAAATATTATTTTGTTTCTAATGCAACATATCACATTATATATAGTAACAATAGTTGTATTAAAACTAATATATTGTGTTTTTAATCATTGAATCAGTATTTCCCTGACAGCACTAAGCAGTTATGAATTGTGTACTGGAAGACTTCAGATTTAACTAAAGTTAGTACCAATAAACTGAGTAAAAATTCTACAACTGTGCAGTTTCAGAATGGAAAAAGCACTTACCCTAGCTTTAACATATTTCTTGACAGTCAGTTTTGTAAAAAGAAAAAGAGATGAGAATAATTAGGAGTTAATTAGGAAAGAACAGCATAGAATCAGAGTGGAACAGAAGACCTAATGCTATTTTACAAAAGGGCTTTGATAGGGGCAGAAATACCGTATCTGATGCTAGGATAACCTAAAAGTCTTCACGTTATGTAGAGGAAAAAACACCACATAGCATGTATGAGAGTCACAGCTTGATACTCTACAAATCAGTGCTTGGCAAAATCAGGCAGAACCAGCCCTTTCACACTTTTATAGCATCAATAAAGAAGATTTTTCTTTGGGTCTAAATGCTATTGTCAGGAGTTTCCAACTCTAGTACTGTTAGGAGATTGCTAACTCCAAGAAATAAAGTGTGAAAGTGGTAACTGCTTTTATTACTGAAGACAAACGGTAAGCAAAAAAGAAAATGAGTGATTTAGGGTTAGAATTTTGTAAAGTTCTCCCCTGCTTCCTCTTTTATTCATATATAATTACACATAGATACAGAAAAAATGGGGAAGAAAAAGGTTGTGATATCAGGCAGTACTATAAAGTAGTAGCATTATAAGTAGGAAAACTATTTATTAAACACATAGTTTAACCAGGTTACTCTTCAATGACACAACAGAAATGCAATCTGTGCTGATATAACAGCAAAAGTCCGGGTTTCTAAACTGTATTTAAAAGATTCAGAGATTCATATTTTCTACAGTTACGTTTTAATATTGCTTTAATATTTTACCATTGCTTGCTCTAGTGGAACGACTTGCTGGTTATGAACCATTCGAATGTTGTTCGCATGTCCTTTTAAGGCATTTTCCAGTGCTCCTTTTGGCTGCAAAAAATGCAATTATGCAGTATTGTTCAGCAGTCTCAAAGCTTTCCAACAAAGTAAAAAACAATTAAAGTTGCACATTATACTCATCCGCTGCAGAACAGCTGATGCTAACAATGGGATATTGCGAACTGAATTCCTCAACGCAAGGAGAGGAAAAATCACCATATGAGTAATTCAAACCTCGGCAACCAAAACAGGTATATTATACTGCCTTTCTGGCTATGACATTATCAGCACAGATTTAACTGAAAAGAATTTTCAAATGGTGCACCAAGTCATTTTAAATACAGAAGAGCAAGCACATCCCCTCTCACTTGCCACAAGCCAGACTTCGTTGCAGGAACCCTGCAGCACGGTGCCCCAGCTGGGACGAGCATTTCCCAGTCACGGTTACTTGCTTTTGTTTTGGGCACTGTGGACATCACCCTGAGGCGCTCTCTGCTTTCTGAGAGGCAAAGAAAATTAAATATTTTCAGCCAGTAACTTGGAAAGTGACCTGTGAAGGGTTTTTTTCATTTTTGGGAGCTCCCAACTTACAGTCAGAAGATATGAGTTTGTGCCCTGAGTTTCAAGTCTGAATGCCTGTCTAGAGCTCACACCTGTTGTGACATACTGTAAAATTTGATTTTACTCTCAGAAACACATTTCTCTTCCATTTCCTTTTGGTGGCAAAATCACTTGGCTCTCTGCATATATAGTGCACACTACTAACTCCACTTCGGAAGTATAATAGTGGCAGACCTCAATGCCCAAACACATGTTTGCCTCCTGTCAAGCATTCACTGTAAGTGGTCAGCTGTGGCCACTGAGCAGCTTCAGGATGCTTCCTCTGCTGTGCTGACAAGCTGAATCCACTCACCTAATAACACCTGGGGGTGGTACTGCTCCCTCCTCCATACCCTGACCCCTTGGTTTGATGCAAGTTTTATTCCATTTGCTCCTTCCCGTGTAAAAACATACATTCAATTTTGTGTAAGATGCCAGAAAATGAAAACTATATACTCAAAGATAACTAATTTTAGAAGTTTTCAGTTTATTTTTTAATTGATCTTGTAAACTTTAAGAGCTATCACTAATAACAAAGTGGGATTATAAAATATCCTTGGAAACCAGTATTATTTTTGAAACCGTTGTCTCACAAGCAGAGTTCATCGCCCATGTGCAATAAGCCAATACACACACAGAGCTGAGATATTGATTATTGCACGTCTGTGTAGAGGTGGGGTAATTCCACAAAGCTAGCAGACCTGCTTTCAGTCACACTGTGTATTTATACAGTTCAAAATGTTAGTGCCACATCCTTCTAACTATAATTGGTTAGTTTTTATCTCTTCTTAATTGCAGTTGGTTAGTTCTTTTCTCACTTCGATTTAAAAACAGTGTTCCTTAAATTTACTACGCACGCTCAGAAAGCGGAGGTCTTAATTCAGGAGGATTGTCCCAACACTTGAAGGTGTGATTTTTAGTATTATATTAAAATGAGGATAGGTCACTTTTAGACAGTGCTAATCACTAACTTGGCTGACTACTCCAAACATACTGATTATTTTCCAGAATGTTGCTGTCTTCAAGGGTAAATCTAACAAACCTTAGGTGATTAAAAAGTTTTTCTCAACAGCCCCAAGGACAGTCTTCGTAATCTACACAGAGAGCACGCATTAGTTACATTAGCTTCTAACTTAACTTGCAACAAAACAATCTAACTTTTGTAAAACGTTGTACTGTTGTGGGATTGTTTTGGGTTTTTATGTGTTTGTTTGTTTTTAGACATTTCAGAGATTACACTAAATAGCATCACAAGGAAGAAATAAAAATGTACACTGTAACAGTGAACACATTTAATATTATTTTTTCTTTGGTTTTTTATATGTAGCATTACTCTGAATGATCTATGTCAATTCCAACGCTTCTTCCTTTAGATTCTATTACAAAAAATAATGAAAAACCTATCTACCAGCAGAATATTTTTTCCTTTATAGACCTAGGTATAATATACCTTTAAAGAGACAACTCAGAGGCAATTTATCTACGATATAACATGTTTGAAGAACCTCAACTTTCACTTAGAAAACAGCCCCAAAAACAACAGCAAAAACTCCCCACCTGTACGTATATCCTTCAGAATGGCACAGTAAAAATTGAAAATGGACATGAAGCGTGGCCAAAGCTACCGGTATCTGTCCAAGTTAGCAGACAAGCCACATGAGGAAACAGGCAATGTGCGGCTCACTCACAGTACTTTTTTGTACTACAGTACAAAAAAAAAAAACCCACAAGCAGCTTAACCCTGACATCAGTGCACATGACAGAAAAAAAAAAAAAACCCAACAGGTGTGTCAAATTATGCAAAAAGCTGGAGTAAACACACCAGGAGCCTCTACTGGTGCCCTCCTTTCCTTGGAGAAGGGATGGATACCTGATAAATTCCAAACAGCATGGTCTCACTCTGCTGTCTCTGTCCCTTAGTGATCCAAGCGATTGTAGTATGTGTGCAGCATAACTCTCTCCCACATCACAATGCAGGAATCTATCTTGGGACAGTGTCCAATCTAGTGTCCAAACCATGACTCTCATTTTGAAAAACAAATAGAAAAGTGACCTTGACACGCATACAAACACATCAACTGAATATTCACTATCTGTAAGACAGCTGTGTCATTCTGGAGATTCATTTGCGGGCAATGTTGTAGCTATACCCTCTGACCATTGTCCCTGTGTCTGCATTCAAAAAGCCCTTCAGAGCAGACAGGATCTCTTTTGTGCATTCTCCCTCCACAATGGAGCCTCCGTTCTCATTAGAGCCCTTATGAGCTGCCACAGTATTAATTTTATTACTAATTGCAAAATCTTCTGCTCACTAACTGAAATAAAATTAATTCAAATTATCTTTTTCATCTTGATCTAACCAATTTTTCTTCCATCTGGGACCCTAAAATGTAGACAGCATCACCGGAAATACTCGAATGGAGTACTCCCCTTATTCTTACGTGAACAGTGGATTACACCTCCAAAGCAGAAACTGCACAACAGTTAACATACAAAAATCAATAATTAGCAATATTTAAAACACACCTCATATAAAACATTTCTTGAAAGTTTTTCCTTATGTGACAATGCATCAAGTATATAAGTGTCTGAAGTACAAGAATTCTCCCGCAGGAAGTCTAAATGCTTGGCTATGTATTTATACTTATATAGTACATAAACAATACATTTTATGTATTATTGTATTAACGAATTAAACTTACCAGCTGGTCTGCTCTTGCTTCTAAGTCATTAGCAAATGACAGAAGATCAACCTTGGTAACACTTTTATTAATCTGAAACAAGACGTAAACAGTAGGAAAAGAAAAAGAGCATGTTATTATTGTATATACAGAACATTTGCACTTAACGACACCACCCACTTCATCTACCCTTTATTTCTTTAAATGGTTATTGACTTTAACTTCTGAAGTGCTTTTGCTCCAAGTTTGGTGATTCTTCACGACATGCCCTTTCATACAAAAGCAGATTTTTCTCCAGTTTTCCCATTGTTAAAGAAACATTTCATTTTATGCTTTGTCCCAGTAGTGTCTCTAGTTTACATACTATAGTCTCACCTCCGTCAAATATGCTGCAAAGTTTATCCCTTCTATTCCTGAAGAGCTGAAATTCAGAAGATTCTCTTTCCCAATTTCATCCAGCAGAATGATTTTGCTGAGGTTTATCTGAATATGTTCAATTTTAAGTGCTACATCTTCTGTATACTGAGAGGGAAACAAAATCAAGCACAAAAGTAGTCTGCATCCAGTGCATATTCCTCTATAGCACCCCCTCCGCCAAAGCATCTTGCTTTTGCTGACTCATCACTTCCATGAAGAAGCATACATTGATTTTTGCTTACATCAGTTTAATTCTATTAACTTTGACACAACCCACCAGGCAATGTTCTTCCCTTACCTGCAGTATCCACACAGCCTAGCCATGCCATGTTCTAACCCACCTATGCACCTTTCACACCAATGAATTACTGCCTTCCATTACGTTTTAAGCCAACTTCTCTGAACAGATGTTAGTCCCTTCTAAAAGGAGGTAGAGATAAAACAGAGTTCTCTTTTCTCTCCAGGAAATGTTATCCTTAAAACTGCAAAGTTCTACCCCCGGCCCTGATCAGGGAAACCTAGAGAATTCAGTATCTCAGCTGTGGCCAGGACAGACACTGTCTGCTCTATTGGCCACAGGACTGGATGAGATTCCCCTAAATATGTTTAGTGGTGACTAAAGATGACTTGCTTATTGTTACCTGAAGTCTTCCTGCACTGCACACAGATCTAAAATGTTATGTGTCCTGCAAAGGGAGCAGTGCAATAGATGAGGAATCTGGAAACCTGACTTCCTTTACAGCCTCTACCACTGGTCTGTTGCAGAAACTCAGAATGATTTCCCCTATTAATGAATATTCCGTGTTCATTTTAGTTCTATATCATTTGGAGCAGGGACTGTATCTATTAAGTGTGGGTACAGTGACTGGCAGAATGGAACATGGGTCCCCTAGGGGTTGCTGCATAAAGATTAGAATCATAGGCAACCCCAAAAACTAGTGCAGTCATGTAATGACAGTGCAGTCATGTATTATTACAGCTTAACTAAGATTTTATTTTATCCCAATCCTTTCCCACCAAAATCAAAACCATTCTTAGGAGCATAGCGTATCACATCCTGGACCAACATAAATCTGACGAGAATCACAAGAGAACAAACGAAGAGAGAATAACCAAGAAAGGCATTTATATAAAGAGCAAGACTCTTATTAAACACTGCAAGCAGCCTTTGGAAGATGCTAGACTTGAACATTCTCTGCAAGTTTCAAAATTAAAAACAACATTATCAGCACCCATACTAAAAGCATATCCGAAAAAACTTCCATAGCCCACTGAGACCTGTAAAGAACATCTTATTTGTAAACAGATTTCTTTCAAATTAGCTTGGACAGTTCTTGCCTCCTTGCAGGTTGTGTTGTACATAAAAAAACCCAAAACCCCATAAAACCAAGACACTAAATACTGTGTTTAAGAGCAAACACCTCTCCAGCCTTCAAAACTAAACATGAACTCACTCATATTTTCTTTACTTACCATACTAATATTTAGAAATTCATTGATATTGAACAGGTGTTCTAGGTGAAGAGAAGTATAAATTCCTTTGTTTTCCTTGCAATCACTATAAAAACAAAAATACATCAGGCTAAAAACCACCTTGAGGACTAAGTGTTAAGAAAATTATTTAAAATATTTTCATATTCTAGAGAAAATCAGCTCTTAAAAAAAAAGGTTCTGGCTATATTTTTAGAAGCTCAGTCTGTAAAAAAGCAACTAATTAACAATTTCTGCTGGTCTCAAAGATTCAAAATATTTTTCCAAAGAGGTCAGCTAGTATTGTTA